GATGGAACTCAGCATAGTCCAGCCTGTCCCAGTCTCCCCAGACACAGTCCCTGTCCTGGCCTATCCTAGCACACTGTTCCTTTGCACACTCTCCTTCTAGTCCCCAAGTGCACTGGGACATCTGCATGGGACATTGGCTGGGACAAAACACTTGCTGGAGGCCTTTGGCAGGGCAGTCTGTGGGGTGGTGAGAGTGCCAGATATGAGAACAGTCCAAATGCCACCAGGAGCCTATTACAAGATTACCAACATGGTCTGGTCAGGTGGGCTCTGCCAACAGAATCAGAATCATCAAGGTAGGAAGAGACCTTCAAGATCATCCAGTCCTACCATCTGCCAGCACTGCTACTGTAATCCCTAAACCACTAAGCCCTATGAAACAAGTGCCAGATCCAGAACCTCTTCAACACCTCAGGGCTGGTGACTCCACCACCTCCCTGGGCAACCTATTCCAATGCCTGACCACACTAATAATGAACTTTTTTCTGGTATCTGACTCTTCCCGTCTCAGCTTAAAGCCATTTATTCCGGTCTTCTCACTGGAAGCATGTCAGGACAGACCAGCCCCCACCTCACAACAATTCTCTTTCAGGTAGTTGTAGGGAGCAACGAGATAATACTTGAACTTCTTTTTCTTGAGACAGAACAAACCAATTCCATCAGCCCTTCCTCATTAGACATGCTTTCTAGATCTTTTATAAGACTTGTTGCCATTTGCAGAACTCACCCCAGTACCTCAATCTCCTATTTAAAGTCCAAAACTGAACACAGTACTTGAGGTATGGCCTCACCAATCCCTCACCAGGGGGATGATCACTTCCCTAGTCCTGCTGGCCCACACTATTCTTGATAAGGACAAGATGCCTTTGGCCTTTTTGGCCGCTTGGGTACATTGTTGTCTCACATTGAGCCACAGTCAACCAGCACCCCCAAGTCCCTTTCTACAGAATAGTACTCAAGCTATTTCTCCCCCAGCCTGGAGGGCTGCAGCTGGTTGCTGCAAATCCAAGTGCAAGACCATCACTTTGCCTTATTGAATCTCATGCGGTTGCCCTCAGCTCATTGATCAAGTCAGTCCAGGTCTCTCTGCAGAGCTTTCCTACCCTCAGGCAGTTTGACACTCCCACCCAACTTTCTGTTGTCTGTAAATTTATGGAGGGTACACTCAATCCCCATGTCCAGACCATCAATAAAGATGTTAAACAGGACTAGCCCAAATACTGAGCCCTGGTGAACACCACTAGTGACTGGCCCTATCTGAATTTAGCTCCATTCACCACAACTCTCTGGGCCCATCCAAACAGCCATTTTTTTACCCATCAAAGAGTGCACACATCCAAGGCACGAACAGCCAGTTTGTCCAGAGAGGTCTTCTGCAGCACCCTCATCTGCTATGGCTTCATGGGAAACAGTTCTTCCTTCTCTTGTGTGCTCATGTGGTCCTTCCCTGGGCATTTGTCTGTCCTTGTGGGACCTTTCTAGGTGCATGCCCATCCCTGACACACATGCAGATGAAGCTCCATGCAGGGATCTTAGAAGATACAAGTGATGTGAGTTCAGGACAGCTGTTGGGGAAGGATCAGTCCTCTACCCAACCATGGATGCAGAGGTAGACATCTCAGGAGAGAGAGACCCTTAGCAAGATGGAAGGCACCACTGACACTTATGGGAAAAAGGGTCCAGCTCTGATGAATGAGCTCCACTGGAGGCCTGGGGGATGATGAGACCAATGGAGGCAGAGGAAGGGATCCTTCTAATTCACCACAGGAATAGCCCACCAGTCCCATCCTCCTTTCTCCTCTCATGTAGATAGCATGACCCACTCAAGTTCTCAGCTGTATATGGAAGCATCTCCTTTGTGCCTCTGATGACAGCTGAGGAGGTGGAAAGCCTGCAGGAGAGCTTAGAGTGAAGAAGGTCTAATACCTGCATGGGCCAAAGGCAGAGTCTGCTTGGTATTTCACCCTACTTGTCAGACAGCAGTCTCATTAGGGGCTGAGAAATGTCCCTTTGCTATGAGAGTGAAACAAAACATCAGGAGTGATACATAAAACCCTTAGCCACTTTCCCTGAGCTCATCTGCCTTTCTCTACCAAGCACGAGGAACACCCTTTGCAAGAGGGACTGACCTCTAGCAGCCTTGCATCTGAAAACATGAGGTCCTGTGAACCAAGAGCTCTTACCTCTCCGTAGAACAGCACCAGAAACCAATGGGAGAAGGAATAAGAGGAGAAATGTCCAGAAAGCAGGAAGCCATGGAGATGCACATGAAAAATCATCACCTATAGATAGAAAACATCTATCATCTGGCAACATTCAATCACCCTCCCAAAATCTGAGTTCCCACCTAAAGAGTTCGTGTGGAGATGGATGGAGAAATATTCACAGTCCTACCTGGGCAGGCAGAGCCTGCCTTCTCCAGGGATGTGCACAGCATCCAGGGCAAGAGTGACCCTGCTCATTTCTCACTGCAGCCTGTCCTGGCTGCAGTGCCCCATGGTGGTCTGCAATCTGACCAGCTGAGCTGGAGAGCTGTCTTCCCTGTCACTGGAAAGGGCCTTACAAGGTTTCTAGTGAGCGTATAGTACAGACTTCTCAGGACAATGGGACTCACCTCTGAGGAACACAGAATTTTTCTTCTCTATTTGCATCAGAGGGGTCAGGATTTGACAGGTGACTTTTCCTACTTGCTCTCGTGAAACTATGACTCGACTCAGCACACTGAAGAATTTCTTGCTGTCCTGGTGTATTTCAGTGTCTGCAGACAGTTCCTGCTCGTTCTCAGTAAACCACTGGACAGTAGGTTTGGGGAACCATCCATGTGATCTGCAGGCAAGCTCGAGCCCTTGTCCTTGAGGGCCCAGAATGTCAATGAACACTTCACCAGTACCTTAAAGGCAAGAGAGTTTGTTAGTGGGAGAAGTATGTTTCTATGAAATACACTCAGCTTTTCCCTGGCATCTCCCCAGTTCATGCCAGCAGTACAGGTGGGCATGGATGGTCACTGCACAGGGACTGTGCTAAAGTTGCATCAGTGTGGTGAGTTGGGATGCACCGCACACGTTTCTCAGTCACACTCCAGAGCTGACGATGGATTTAATGGGAATTTGTCCTGGTCGGTAGGAGGAAATGGGCACCAGCTGGAAGCCTTTTCTCTCTCTTATCTCAAAAGCATCTCCCATGCCCTTTGGATGGGTGGATTTAGACTTGATATTAGGAATAAATTATTTACTCAGAGTGTAGTGAGGCACTGGCACTAATTGCCTAGAGACGTTGTTGCTGCCCCAGCCCTGGATATGTTCAAGGCTAAGTCAGATGGGGCTTAGACCAAAGTGGTCTAGTGGAAAGTGTCACTGCCCATGTTAGGAGGGTTGGAACAAGACAATCTTTAAGGTCCCTTCTACCTGAAGCCATTCTACAATTCTATGATTCTCTGCTATTTTTCATCAGTGAATCCAGGCTGACCAGTCCAATCTGATACTACTAATACCTGTACACAAATGATGCCAGCTGTCCAGCTGGTGAGGAACTGGCAGTCCAGAGCATCTCCTTAGCCCAACTGAGAAGTCACAAGAGTGAGGACACCCATTCCTATCAATAACACAGCCAGGGATGCTGAGCACTTGTATGTCTGTCAGATAGGCTTACACCTCCCCAGCAGTGATTATTGTAGTTCAACAGTCCCACATGTGTCACAACAGGCCTCAGGCTGGGCTTGGAGCTTACAGAACATCTTTTGGCATAGGAACTCACCCACAGTCCCTTTGCAGCTTTATCAAGCTCTTCCTGCCTGCTCCATTTCACCACACAATGCAACTGCCTTCAAACATGCAGGTCAGGTTCTGTGTCTAACAGAAGATTCAGCTTTAAAGCTCCTTCCTTAACTAAAATTACGAGGCCTGCCATGACCTTCTTGGGGCTGGTCAGATCACCAGTTCCCCATGTTGCCTCTTGGGTGGTAGCTCATGGGTTGAATTTTCTTGGCTCCTTACAGACCTCACAGTGACTTAGAAATAAAGTATCACATCAACCAAAAGGCAGGTGCCATGCCACACCACCATGGGGAGGTGATGTGTTGTGTCATATGAGGGGGCATCAGCTGGGGAACAGTGACCTTTTGGACAGCTCTTTTCCCTCTGTAACAGGTTCACCCCTTTCCCACCCAGCCCAGGAAGTCTCCAACCTGCAATGCTGAGCCAGGTGTCTGATTCAGCCATCCAGTGCCTGGATTCCACAATGCAACTGTATCTTCCTTCATCTGCTGGCTGGACATTCTTCAATGTCAGGGACACATTCCCAGTGGCAAATCCATCTCCTGGCACTGATGTCCGCCCACGGTATTTCTGCACTGGTTCACCACCAAACTGCCCATATGTGTAGATGTCCTCCATATGCCCATCTGTAAGGTTCTTCCATTGCACTTCAGGGGTGTCCAGTGACCTTGTGGAAGAGATGATGCAAGGAAGGATTGTGTCCTGGCCGACAATCCCCACTACTTTCTGGGGTACAGTGACCTTGAAATTTTCTGTGGAAACCAAAGTTGAGTGAGCATCTGCCTGAAATCAGTCAGAAAATGTGCTTGGGTGAAGGACGCAGAGGACTGCGAAAAACTGTTGAGGAGACTGAAACAATTCAAAGTTGCAAATACTCACTAATGATACTAGTCCCTTCTGTTAATGCGTCAAGATATTTTAGGGAAACAGTCAGTTTTGAATAAACGTTAGGAAAGCGGAATTAATGTTTGATGAAAATGGTTCACGTATTTTCTTTCATTTTTATAAAAGAGAAATTAATTTTGGTTTGTGGCATTCACTCACTTTCTCCTTTTCTTCTTTTCTCTGAGGCAAAATGGGAACTGGAAAAGTTTGAAAGCCCGAAGTAATATAGGAGAGGGAGAAACGAGTTGTACAGGACAGGATTATTTTGAAGGAAATGACAAAAAGTCTAAAAAAATGGAGAGAGCCATTTCATCAAGCTCCCAGCCTGCCTTATACTATGCAGCCTTGTGCCACCAGCTGCAGGGCAGCTGTGTCAATGCAAACTTCCCATGCAGGAAAAGAAATGCTCTTGGTGCTGTGTCAGGGCTGGATATGGCAGAGCTGCCATAGCTTAGGGCTTCCCCAACTCCCCCAAGGGAGAGAAACTCAGGTTGGCACAGGGTGGGTTCCCCAACAGCAGAGCAGCAGGGCACCGCTGGGTATTCTGGAATTTAAATCAGAGCTTCCCAGGAGACCATGACCCTCAACTCAAGCAATTCTGATCATCTGCACACTTGAATCCCTCAGAATGGAGCAGAACAGCACATGGAAACATTACCTGAGAGAGGAATGGCTGCAAGAAATGCCACAGCCAACAGGAGCCATCTCCTCTGGTCCATATCCACAGTGGGACATGTGGGATGATCACGCAGCTGACCTGAAACAAGCACAGAAGGGAAGTGCACAAAGAAGGGAAATCCTGTCCCAAACCTATCTGATCTCCCTCCACTGGCACTTGCCATCAGCTGCAGCTTCTGAAGGTGCAAAGTGTTCAAACAGCTGAGTTTAGACTTCAAGAAAACTCTTCAGAGATCTCAATTACCTTTGAAGCTTCTGGGGATTTCTCTCAGTCTAACATGCTCTCAGGAAGTTGTGACAGGGGATGCAAGAGAGGAGAATTCAATCCAGCCCCCATTGCCTGCTGTAAAATTTAACAGACACTTTAATTAACAAACCAGCTTAAATCTCTGGTCTGGATTGCACAAGTCTCTCTGTGCTCTGAGATGGAGGTAAAAGGAGGAAGAAATTGTTTACCCTCAACCATGACTATGTTTGGAGGTTGGGGAATCCACAGTCCTTGCTATTCCGAATGCTCAGACTGCAATAGTGACAGTACAGCAGTTCCAGCACAAACCTCATAGCATTCAGTGATCTGCACCAGCTGCACTCTGCAGCACTACACTAAAGATCCTGCCCTTCCCTGGCTCTGGCTCTCTCTGTGCACTTTGGCACATCCAGGATGTGCCAGAGTGTCCTTATCTGAGTCCCCATAGCAACACTTCTGGTGTGATATCTTTATTACTTTATTACTTTATTCCTGTTCAATATTCCATGGTTAGTGAGCAGTGAGGAAGGTGAGGCGTCCTGATGACTCCAAGCAGGAGTTAATCATCCTGCAGTACAGTGTCTGGATACATCCTTACTGCCCAGAGAAGGTGACCTGCAGGTCTCACAGCTACATCTGATTCGACTAAATCAGCTGCTGTTGGAACAGGTGTGGTGGTGAATCAAGGCAGACATCAGTATAGCTTATCTTAGATTAATTCTTGTCCTGGGAAGATACCTGCCATGTTTGGTCAACTGGGTAAGCACAAGTGGAGTGACAGGAGAAGTGTTCATTTCACCTGATTTTAATCATATATTCTCCCTCATCACTTGCTAAGGAGAAACAGGGACTCCTGGAGGGATTTCATCCAGCTTACTGTGAACTGCTACAATGGAAGTGATCTTCTCTCTATTATCCACAGCACAGATGTTTCCCTCTGAGCTGGTAAAGAGGCACTCCGATGCCTCTGTGCTGGTTTTGGCTGGGATAGAGTAGATGTTTTTCCTAGTAGCTGAAACAGGTCTGTGTTTTGGATTCAGAATGAGAATAATGTTGATAACACATTGAAGTTTTGGTTGTTGTTCAGTTGTGCTCACCCCAAGTCAAGGACTTTTCAGTGTCTCATGCTCTGCCAGTGAGCAGGTACATGAGAAGCTGCAACAAAAAACATCCAGGACAGCTGATCTGAACTGGCCAAAGGGATATTCCACATTACAGAACATCATGCCCAATATATAAACGGGGAGTAGCTGGGTGGAATGGGGTTGATCACTGCCTAGATATGGGCTGGGCATCAATGAGTTGGTGGTGAGCAATTGCACTGGGCATCACTTGGGTTTTATTCCTTTCCCTCTCTCCTCTTCAGTGCAATTCTTCTTGTTATTGCTTATTTTAATTTGCATTTTAATTTCAATTATCAAGATGTTCTTTTCTCAATCAACAAGGTTTACTTTTTCCTTCTGATTCTCCTCCCCAGCTGGGGAGTGTCAGGGGCCATGATGTGAGTGAGAAGCTGTATGGCACTTAGTTGTGTCTTCTGTGATCCACATAATTGAAGAAGCCACAGGTCTCAGGGTGAGATGGCCACAGCCTTTTTTCCACCATCACTCACATGTCCATAAACTACACAGGCAGCTCAGGGCACTGAATGTGAAACTGCATCTGGCACAGAACTTTAGAAAATGTCATGTTAAATTCTGCTGCTTCTACTGTCCAGGGGTTTTCATGGGTTTGAACATGCATTAAGGTCATGCTTTGCAGGCAATTGTTACATGAATCTGTATGAAATGTTGGAGGCACTAATTTGGAGATCTAATATGAGAACAGGGCTAATTGTTCTTAGAGATGAAGCAGTTGAGCTCCTCAGTCACTTTAAAAAAAGTCTTGGGACTGCGTCAGATACTATTAGAGTTGGGAAACTATGCCAGGTATTTGAGGGAGGGACAGATATGGCACAGGACTTGCAGAAACCTTTCACATCTGGATCAGCAACTGGAGGCTTAGAAATTGAAAATGGAGTTGAGTTGACATTGACTCTGCAACATGTATGAGATCCACAAAGACCATTGAATGCTCTGGAATTATGAGAGGAATGATTTAGCAGGTAAACAAAGATGATGTCATGATGACCTGAGGTTTGCTGCTTATGAATTGGCAACCTCAATCATTCAAGGTACTGATCAGGAAATTTTAAGCTTATTAACATTTCTGCAGGTGCAACTAACCACTGGGTGCTGTGACAGTTACCCTCACCCTGAGTAACCATGAAATTAAGATGGTTTCATTCTACTTCAGCTTCCAACAGGAAAGAGTTCCACATGGGCATACATGAAACTAGCCTTGGTTACTGAGAAGTAAGTTCCACCATTACTCATGAGCCTTACTTTGCTCAACACAGAGCCCCAGGGGCCTCCCTGGGCCCAACAGTCCTTTCCAGAGAAGGAATACTGCCTTTCTCTCCTGCTCTGCAGCTTTCTGTTCCAAGCCATACCAGGACAGCACAGCCAGCTCTGGACACCAAAGACAGCAGAACAATCTTTGGGGAAACAAACCTCAGCCCCAGATGGCCAGTCCATATCTCAGCTTTTCTCACACATGACCATTCCCTGTCACTTTATCTCCTCTCTGAGCCCTACTGGGATCAGCCATGCTGCTGATGCCCCCAGTTCCTTGCTACTTGCCCCTGAGGACACATGGGGGATGAGAAGGGCTTGCTGGTCCCTGCATGCACAGCTGGGATGAAGGGAAGAGAGTGGTTCCTGTCCACCCCATCAGTAGCACCACATTCAGAACAATCGGAAACAAACCTCAGCCCCAGATGGCCAGTCCATATCTCAGCTTTTCTCACACATGACCATTCCCTGTCACTTTATCTCCTCTCTGAGCCCTACTGGGATCAGCCATGCTGCTGATGCCCCCAGTTCCTTGCTACTTGCCCCTGAGGACACATGGGGGATGAGAAGGGCTTGCTGGTCCCTGCATGCACAGCTGGGATGAAGGGAAGAGAGTGGTTCCTGTCCACCCCATCAGTAGCACCACATTCATGACTTGTTCAGAAGGGAAAGAAATCAAAGAGCCTTGCTTACCTGCCTTAGTCAGCAAAGGTGAGCACTGATACGAGTCAGGGATGTTTCGTCTTGCCAGAGAAAGTTCCACCTGCAGTAGGGAAGGAAAATGAACAGAAGAATCTGGTTCTGAAGTTTCAATGTGACATTGAAAAGCCCAAAGTAACTTTTATGCCTGAAGGTCACATCTCATCTGCCATATGAGGGCTCTGTGCTGGTATTGTAGGCAGATAGGTGCAAATAGAGCTTCAGCCTTGCAGAGAGGTTTAAGACAAGCAGAGATCCTGCTCAATGCCCACAGAGTGTACCTTGTTTCAGAATCAGAGCTGGATTTTACTTGTTTTCAGATAAGAGCAATCTCCAGATACTGACAGGTCAAACATGAGCTTTGATCAGGTTGTTAACTTTGAACTGTGAAACAGAAGCAATGAAACAAGAAGCAATTAACTAGGCACAATGCTCTGACTGAAGCTCTCATGTTGCTTTTCTTTGGACTAATACTTTTGCTGACATGTTACACAGAACAGGGAGATGTGGTGTCTCAGTTTGAGTGGTTTCGCTGGGATCTGGCAGACACCATTTAGAGATATCAGCCTTAAATGGGAGTAATTCTGCTTTTGGAGAAGGTCACATCTATGAACTGAAGTGCTCCTGGATTCCCACTGCACTTGCCTCTTAGTGTCCTTTTCACAGTTGCTTCTTACTTTAAATACTGTTCCAGAGGTATTTCTAGCTGCCCTAGA